CCTGAATGATCCGAAAAATATATGTATATGTATTGACATGCATAATGCATCAAGTGTCTCATTAGGCGTTTTATCTTTGAGGAGTTTTTGTTTCTCCCTCCCTCATCTAGTTTGAAAAGATGTGAGAGAACTGCTCTCTGTGGACGACGACATACTCTTTGACGAGAGCGGTGACGCGAATATCTATTAGGGATCATCTTTGGCTAAGTACTATCATAGTTATAAAATATCTTATAGGAGTACTATGGTTGGTACGACCATGGTCATAGATTGTATCATAGTTTGACAAGCTGGAAATGTACTTGAGCAAATTGTCGTTATATATTTGATATAGTCATTCCATATGGGTAGTCGAAAATCTATATATACCCTCAGAGATGGAAGTCAGAACGACTTCACGAAGCATGACACGAAAAATTGAGCATTTTATGATTTATTTGATTTTCTCTATTGTTGAATATGATTTTGATTTGATTGCTGTGACTATGACATGATGTATTCCTTTAATAGATAAAATTATTTTCATAAAGTAAGATAAGAACCTAACGTGACCTGATGGTAAATATCAATGACATATTTATTCACTTTAAAAATCTTACAATGTTATTTAAATATTATTTTTCTTACTAAGTATATGGAACTCATCCTTCCCATGCCCCCTCCAGATGAAGAAGATAGTGAAGAACCGACCGCTGACCTATCCCTTGAAGTCTATGAAGATCCCGTGGATCTACAAACCTTGAGTGCATGACTTGTCCCGCACTCTGATAAGTTCAATTGCATAGTGAAAGAAGTGGCTCTTTTATATTTTGATATTTTGTATTTTGTCACTTTTGGCCTCAATTATATATATGTGTAATTGGAACTCATATATTTTATTAAGAAATTTGTAATAATTTACTTCGTTGCATACAATTTTTATCATGTACTCATAATCTGTTTATGTATCTAGCACCTTTATGCCTTAATTTGCATTGGAGATATCACAGTTATCCCCCATTTGCTCGTATCAATTGTTAAGTTAGATCCCACATGCCAAATTTGATTACACTTAACATTTTTTTATTAACGTGTTCGCAACTAAATTCCACATCAAATGTTATGTGACATCTAACATAGTATTTAAACAAAGTAGATATGGATCGATTCAAACCAATCCACAAAAAAAAAAATTTAATTAGTAATTTAAACAAAAGCCCCAAAGTCCCACTTTTCTCCTCACTACCCATAGTTATTTATCTTATCTCATCTTTATTCTTTTTTAAATAACTCGCTTAATCTCATTAGAGAAAGATAACAGTGGTTGTCAAAGCCCTTTCATATTCTTTGAGCTGGCAGCCCAGCCCCACTGGTGAATAATCTTCTAGTCATCAAGCTGTTTCACTGCGGTCACATGTTACAATCGTGCGATTCTGTTTTTCCTTTTTCTATTCACAACTTTTTGGTCATTTCTCCTTATTTTCTTTTGATCCCTTCTCTTTATTAGATTTTGGTCCCTTTTCCTTATTGCTTTTTAGTCCCTTTCAAGTTTCAATGACAATGCGTTCACTTTTTTTGCGTATATATATATATATATTTATTTACTTATATAGTTACTTGTGGAGTATTTTTCATCCTTAAAATTTATGGTTTTGATTTCGTTTCTGCACATGACTGCTTATTTCTTTATCCAAATCTAGATTCTCTTTTACTGATTAACGCACTCGTTTGATGTTTCATTTAGTAGCACAATGGCACCAATTATGATTCCTAGTCATCTTTTACTTGTTTATATCTATTTATTCTATGGCTCTTCTTTGTTGTTTTATTATCAATTTCATATATAAAAATTTATTAGAATAATAAGTTTAAAAAAAAAAAGAAAAAAATGATAAAAGGCTATGAAGAAGAAAGTGAAAACAAAAAGATGATTTATGGAGGGATGAAGTTGGGAGAGAGGAAAGACGGAGAAAATAGTGAAGTTCCTGAAGCCAAACTGGTCATTGCTTTAATTTAGACTATGATAATCTTAAATGAGAAAAAATATTTTAATTTTGGAGTTAAAAAAATAAAAAAAAAAAGTGGAAAGAAAGAGAAAAAGTGAAAACAAAAAAGACTACTTAATTTTTTTTTTGTTTTGTTGACTAGTTTGAAAAAGTCTACATCTATTTCTAGTTACCATGACATTCGTCATATGCACAACTAATCAGGAGGGGTCGTCTGCTATCAAATATGATACATGACACCTAACTTAATGGTGTCAATGGTCAGTAACAATGAATGATTAAACCGAACATTTTTCAAAAATATAAATATTAATTTGACCAAAAATTAAGACAAGAACTAATTGAAATAAAATTTAATAGTACTTAAAGACCAATCATTATTTTAACCGATAAAGTTTTGGCCTAAGTATTGATATTTAATGAGAAATAGTTATAAAAAGTATAATGTTACGACTAAAATAACTTAGAAGGAAAATAAGTAATTAGCTTGGAATAAAAATTAGGAATTCTTTAAATAATTTGTCGCAAAATTAAGATAATTTTCCTTGTAATTTTTGTTGCAAAATTATGTGCTTCTTATAGTGACCAAAATGTTGGTCAGTACTTTCTAAAACTTCCTTCGAATCCTATTAGGAGACTATTTAAAGGAAAAGAGGGGGCCAATGAAGGCATCATCTTTAGAAGACATCATCTTTTGAAGGAGGCGATAGAAGATAGTCAAGAGACTAGGAGATTAAGGTTTGGCTTCAATAGAGTTTTTCCTTACGCTATTTCTCTTTTACTATTGATTCTAAACCTTATTTTGTTTCGTTTTGGCTTATAATAAGAACGCGATTGTATTATTTTATGTGGCTAATTATTTAACTTTGAATGTTAGTTTAAATATGTCTAGTTAAAATTCCTTATGAAAAAGTTGATATAATTTAAAATTATATGTAGGTTTAGTTTAATCATCAATTATATTTGCCTTTTGCTTTTCTCTTTTATGTTCCTTGCAGTTAATGGATATTTGATCTTATAATGGAATATATTTAGTATATATGATATTAAACTCGGGAAGGTTAGCATATATGTGACCTAAGAATTATAACTAAGAAGTGCATTGAATCGGGAGACTAACGTAACCTTGAAAATCAATAACTGAACGAAAGTTAATGGATGATTAATTAATTAATTAATTGAATAATAATATTCGTTAGTTTAATACATTATTATGCTCAATATTCGGAGAGGGAGTGAAAAAATAATAGGATTCCACAATTTAGAATCATGATTTAGAGAAAATTATCATTGTGATTAATTAAATAATCACGACTAGTTTTTTTGACTGGACCCCACCACCTTATCGTTGGATTAAGATCAACATTGATGGCGCTCTTCGGGGAAGCATCGATGGAATTTGTGCGGGTGTCATTGGTCGAGATAGTAACGGTCAGTGGCTTGGGGGCCACATCAGGAACATTAACACCTGCACCGTTCTCTAAGCCGAACTCTGGGGTGCTCTAGATGGTTTTGAGCTGGCTTGGAATTTAGGGTCGCATCATGTGATATTGAAAACGGATAATGCACTTGTTGTTCAACTTTTGAATTGGGCCCTCAACAAGGAGCAGATCCTCATCAACACGATTTCTCACATAGTGTTGGTTATTCAGTCTTGGCTAACGAAAGATTAGCACGTTATGATCCAACATGTTTATCGTGATGGGAATCGTTGTGCTAACCTCCTAGCTAACCTAGCCTTCACTTTTTTCCTCCGATCCTACTATTTGCAGCAACTGCCTACTGAGCTTCTGAGTTTTCTTTAGGAGGACTTTACTGGAGTTTCTTGGCCTAAAATGTGTACTCTTTAGTTGTCTCTTTTGTTTTTTTTTCTCCCTTATATCCTGAAAAATTAAGTTACTTATTTAGCGACCTATTTCCAGTTTTATAATTAAGTTTGCCTTTAATTAAAGAAGTAAAGTCACTTTTAACTTATATTTTCTAGATAAAAATATTATATTAAAGTTGTAGGCATTGATAGGTTTAATACATATTTACAACATATAAAATATCTTGTGGAAATGATATTTTATTATATATTCAAAGGTAAATCACTAAATTAGTTCATGAAGTTTCTCTCTTATTATATTTTGGTTCTTAATGTTCTTTTTTTCATTATAATTTGATGTTTAATTTTTTCTATTTATTTTAAACACTCAATTTTTTTCTATTTTCTAATAGGAAAACATAAAATAGTTAGAATATATTTGAATATTTTAAAACAATAACTCAAAAAAATAATTTTAACTAATTAATTAATAAATAAATAAATTAACTACAATAAAAAATATGTATAAAATTATCATTAATTTATTGATATATTAATTTAATTAATTAGTTAAAATCATTTTTGAGTTTTTTTTAAAGTATCCAAACATAATTTAACTACTTTAACTATTTCTGTTAAAAAGTAAAAAAAAAAAAACTGAAAGTTTGAAATAAACATACAATGTCACTAAATTTTTTTAATAAAAACAAATATTACATACTAAATTATAACAAGTATCAAATAATTAATTTGGTAATTTACCATCTATTTTATTAATTTAACAACTAGTGTGTTTGCTTAGTATAACTTTTATTGCATCTTCCCACTTTTTATTATTTAACTTAAAATCTCAAAGATTGATTTAGTACTTGATTCTACTTTCAATAATATCAGTAATAATTCTAAATTTTCAAAACACAAAATTCACAAATAAAATTATTTTGTGAAGTTTTATCCGTAATCACTATTATTACATGTTCATTATATGTATGCATAATAATTATCATACACTAATTTTTGTTCAAAATAATTTTTATTTTTTGCATTAGTAAAAATCAATTAATAGGGTTATTTTATAACCAAAATTATGTCTTACTCAAACCATCCTAATCTCTTTTGTTTTAACCTTATGCCCAATTTACAAGTCCAAAAGACCAACCCAATAAATCTTATTTCCATTACATTTGCCCTTATCTCCTATCAGAGCCCAACCCAGCCCTTAAACACAAAATCAGCAAAATCCTAACTTTCAAAACTCTTTCTCTCTCTAGATCCAATGCAGAAACCAAGCAAATTCCTAGTGGTGGCCTTTGATAGACGATCGAAGAGGAAAGTATGAAGCTTTTCATCTCTCTGTCTCTTCATGTAATACAGAGCCATGCAGCTCTGGCTTTTGATTTCTGATCAAATGCAGAAACCATGCTAATTAGGCATTTGATTCATACTAGAGTAAGTACTGCATAATTTAGGATTTTGAAATTCTGATTCTGCCTAGTATAAAATCAATAGGACCTTCTTATTTGGACATTCTTTAAAGTGCATTTTGGTGTTCTTCTTGCAAGACTGCTTTCTCCTTCTCTCTCTCCAATTGAAAACTTTGGAGCACTATGAACGAAGAACAAGTTTCTCTGCTTCTCAAATCCGCAGCTCTCTTTCCCCCTCCTCATGGTAATTACCCTTCCATTCCTTTTCCCATAATTCACTATTTTCAAAATTCAAAGTCTTACGCATTGGTTTTGCCAATACTTTTTTGCAGGAGTGAAGCTATCATACGGTACAGCAGGTTTTAGGGCGGACGCCTCGCTCCTCCAATCAGCAGTGTTTAGAGTGGGAATCCTGGCAGCCCTTCGATCCTTCAAAACCCAATCTGTCATTGGGTTGATGATCACCGCATCTCACAACAAAGTCACTGATAACGGTGTCAAAGTCGCTGACCCAAATGGTGGCATGCTTTCGCAGGACTGGGAACCCTTTGCCGATAAGCTCGTGAATGCCTCCACCCCTCAACTTCTCGTCTCGGTTAGTCATACATTCAATATATTTACGCGCATATAACATAAAGATATGAATATGCATTTTTTAATGCTGTTAAAATGGTTGTTGGTGGGAAAATGCATATTTGATGCATGTTGTACCATGACCAATTTCTCTCTTTTAAAGTTTAAAAAAAGGTAAGATTTTGTCCTACAAATAGAAAGGCATCATCTCCTACTTCATGATGTAGGATAAGAAAATCTTCAATATATTTCTACACTTTTATCTCAAAAAAAAGCAGGATAAGAAAATCTTGTTATTACTTTTTATGCAGAAATATCTTCTATCCTACATTGATTCAGAGGTTCATGTGGATATATCACTCTTCTCCACTGGAGAAAATTTGTTTTCTTGGAATGGACAAATTTTGGCTTGTCTTACTCCAACTTTGATCATATATTAGTGCTGCGTGTTGCAACCTGGTTCCTTGACAACCCAGTTATAGATTTGCAGTTAAGAATATATTGCCCTAATACATTTTGTTAATTGAGGACTAAGTTGGTGTAGAAAAGATTTCTCATCTTATTTTGGTGGAGTTGAGAAAATGTTCTTCCTTTCAGGAGGCGTTTGTTGTGGTACAACATTTTGTATCAGGTAAGGCACTTTCTTTTAAGGCTAGTGTTTTATTGAGCCCAAGTGAGTAATAATCTTTTAAGGGTATTGTCCTACAAAAGGGGCATCACTTGGGGTGGAAGATAACCTCTCTTTTCTTATAATTAAGAATATTTGATATAGGAAAAATTAGACTTAACTTGCCTTCTTATGAATGTAGAGTCAAGACCTCGACATCACACATAGGATTTCTTCGATATTGCACTTATAGTCTTAAGTATCACACTTAAGGATATAATTGTATCATACAACCATAAAATTGAGAAAATTCTCCAAGTATTTTATTTAATGACTAAATTATGTTAAAAGTGAGATTATAAGGATATTTATATTTCTTTCTTATTAATTCTTTCTTATTACTTTTCCTTTAGATTTGGCTTGCGCCATCATTGACGCATAGGTCTCCCCCAGCTCGGATGTCTGTGATACCACCTTGTCAGAAGCCTTGCTCATGACTTTTGACTTGAGAGGAAAAAAGAGAGAAAGCAGAGAAAGAAAATAAATTTTATTAAAGTAATTCGTTTTATATTTTGATAATTTACATTCGTTTATGAAGGGACTATTTATAAGCTACAACTGATGAAGGCGAACGGCAAAGGAGGCGGAAACCACCTGGACGTTGTGGCGAGAGCAGCAGGAAAGGGATTTTGGTGTGAACAGTTACCATAATCCGTTCATGTGAAAGGACTATTTTACTTCCCCTCTCCTTGTGGATTAATTTCCTTTTCTATCCTTCCTTCTGTAGTAGACCGCTGAAGGTGGCTTCTTGACAAA